AAAGAGTGCGGAATGCATTTATTCTATAACACCACCAGGCTTGACAGAACGACCATTTCTAAATGAGCAAGAGTGGCAAATCAGAGATTTTTTGACTGGAGCGAGTGCTGACATAGCATTCAAGTTCAAAACTCTGAAAATGTAATTTTGATTCAATTACTACAGCCCAGATTAGTTTGATTCCAAAAGGATGGTGACTCAAACTTGGCGTCATCGTGCTCCCCTGCAGTCCCCCCCTCCCCCGAAACTTGGCCCTGAGCAAACTCTTAAAACCAGTTGACTTCAATCCAAATCACCCCGGCGGAATATTTGTAAAGCCGGGGAAATTTGGTAGCGGCGGCGTGTGAGCGGTGGTGCACCTGCAAGCTGTCAGTATGAGAGAATGAGAGAAAGGACAGGGGGACAAGGGTTGGGGGTGAGCAACGGTGGAGGGGGGACCGTGGAGTCCACAGCTAGAACCATTTAGCAAACACAAGGCTTCCTCGGCAACAGGGTAGATTATCCTGAGAATCAGGGAGGATTAGGTGGCATTTCTCCTGGCGGAGAGAGCTGCTACCGGGCATCACTTTCAAACGCGGTGGATTACCAGGACTGGGAAATTCTCCTTCCTGTCCTATGATACATGTATGTTGCCTACTGAATACAGTTCACAAAAACTTGCCCAATGCCAAATGGGAAGAACATAGAAAGAGATAGAGAAGACTTCACTTGTTGGCTGTTACTCATAAAAATTAACACATCGGTGACAGGCCGCCTAATGGAGGATTTCTCTACACCGACTCTTTGCCAGTAAACAGGACACTCATCAGACTCACTGCCTGGCAGTTGTTGTGTCTTTCAGTAGTCCAAGTTTCTAAGTGTTCTGACTGGGGAGGAAAAAAACTGCTGCAAATGATACAGACTGCAGTCGATTTTAAAAACTTGTAAGTTTGTTTAATTTGTATTGAAAACACATATATTAACCATTGCTGCTGGGTCCTAATTGAAGTTGCATGACGAGTTCCCGTGGGATTTTCAAGATTTTCCTTTTTCAAGATTCTTTAAAAATTCATAATTTCATTTACAGGATGTTTACAACCCGCACAAATGACTGTTTGGTGACTACTCTAATCTGACAGGAAGAACTATTAATGCCCGAGTATTTCAACCAGGCCTGCCGCCTTGAGCCCAGGCTGTGCAGTGCTGCTTAATTTTCTTTTGTTCCCGAAACTGGCCCAGTGCACTGCTGGCGTCTTTTCAAATGCGGCCAAATTAGCGTGCAGCAGTATTGTATCACTCATTGCTAGAGCGCTGTCCCCGGTGGTAATCTGCCCGTACTTAATGCCACAAATAGTGGCATACTGTTTCAAAACAATGATGGATTACTTCCAATATTGACAAGTGAAAAAATGTCGGCAATTCCCAGCAGCCCGTTCTTTTGTTCTGAGAATGGTCTTTTGTTGCAAGGCCCAGCTCTTTTGTCTGATTTTGGGCACCCAGGCTATGCGTACAAACCTAAGGTCTCTTCCGTACACGGAAGTAAGACTTGAAAAAAAAAGGGAGAGCGGTTGGAAGTTAGGACACAACTTTTTAAAGCACTTGGGGAGAGGGTCCAGGGACAATTCTGTCCCAGATCAAAGTTCTCCACCCAGACCTTCTGTGACCATTCAAAATATCAACTCTAACCATCACAAGACACCGGCCAATGAGTCCGGCTGCTGCAACTCTTGCTTTTTTTTGGCTCAGCTCTGTGCTGTCCTCAACTACATGTTATGTGTCACTGGGATAAATGACCATTAGCATAGGAGGAAGTAGCAGCCTGAGTGTTTGCATCCCTTGTTTCCTCCAATTAGGCAGGTCCTCTGTCTGGCTGAACTAGGTTTTCGTTTTTCCTTTTCTTTCCTCCTTTCTTTTAAAACCTGGTTTTGAACAGCTTCCTTCTTGCGCACCTCATGGACTACCAGGGGTATGACTTAAAAATCCGAAATTAAGATTTCCAACTAAGCTGTCATCAATCTGCTTCACATAGCATCTTTGATTTGAAGTGGTAAACACAGTAAATGGACTATATGAACAGTGCAATGCAAACAAACAAAAATGTGACCACCTTTGAAAAAAAGTCTCTACATTCCTTCCCAACTGAGAGCAGTATCACCTTTTGTAATACACATGTGCATCAATACACTGTAATTTGTTTCTCCTTGTGGGACAATCATTACTGGTGTGTACTTATGCATGGGTGAATCATGCATAACATGGCAAAAACCTGCGTTTAATACAAGGCAGACCAGACCTACTCCATACCGAAAAGGCCACGGTTCTGGTACTAGATGACAACTAGACCACAGATTAGACTATACACACTTTTGCACTGGAAACAAGTCAACCATGCCCAACAATCCGACCAGACCTGTTTAGTGATACACCATGATTCTGTGTAACAGGCCCGTGATCCATCGATAAGCAACAACAATGCCTCTTTCACTCTGACCTCAACCCTCAGCTCAGAAGATAACAACACCATGACAATTCGCTTCCTCTAATTGGTTTCAGTATGTTACACACAGTGACATCAAGAATCTCAGTTGTTGCAAAATGGAAGATTCACAACTGCACCCATGCCAAAGAAAGCACTGCCGGCCACATCCTCCGCACAGTCCCATACTTCCTGAATGCTGGCCACAATCTTTGTTGTGTGCACTGTATGTCATTTCCTGATGCTGTTGCTTTTTCTGGAGTCACCAAAGTCAAAATAATTCGGCTGTCCTATAAAAACACACTGCGGATCTCTGCTCACGTGACAGGGTCTGAAATCCTACTTTATTTAAAACCTGCACACAAACTGACATCTCATAGTCAGCCAATCAATTTGGGTGTTGGTGACCCAGCACTATGGTGTGGTACATGCATGTGTCCACACCCCTGTTGAGGTTGGGTACCGATGGATAATCAATGATGGCAGATTCCTTCCTCTAATATTCCTTGCATCAACTCCTGCTACGGGTATATCAATGAGACATATGACTCAGGCTTTCGAATCACCATACTTCCCCTAAGAAACTTGATAGGGGATAACATGTAAGCCACCACTGTAATGCCAAAGGTCTGAAAGGCAAGAGGTAGGGAATCCCCTTCACCATCTCATCTTCACAAAACGGCTATATTCCCCCCCCCCTAAAAAAAAATTAATTTCTTCAAGTTACATGTGACCAGCGTCGTACCCTTGAAACCTCCCAAGACCGTCACAACATGAGCCTGGATTCAAGTCAAGTTTTTTTTCTGATAAATTGCAACAAAAGCATTCCTTTCTCATCACACTGTTACTTGTGACTGGTCTTGTGATGGTGTGGATTATAACATTGCATGCACTTAACTTGAATGAAAACCCTGACTTACAAGACTCCCTAAGCATACTACACCAAGTTCAAAATTACATGCTTAAATGTACAGTCCATCATTTGCTGTTGTTGAAAAGCATACTTGGTTTAAGGAGGGTTACGGGACTAAAATTGCTGTGAAATTCTTCTTTCAGGCAAGCTGTCATATTGAAGAAAACAGCAAAAGACCATTTTCAATAATGTGTCTAAATAATGCTTTTTTGGAAAATTTTTATCAGTAAATTAGAGAAACAAATTTTAAATTTTAAAAAATAGTTTTAAAAATCCTGTTGTCTTTTCTTTCTACACAAACAGCTCTCAACTTCTTTTCATGTAAAAAAGACCTGCATATACCTGACTAGCGTTGTGCATAGTGGTAAGAATTGTTGACTGTATTATATTTCTACATTCATAAAGGCAAGTTTTTATAACTGTTGTGGCAATTTTTGGTGGCTTTAGTCCTTATCAATTGGCACATACAAATTGATTAAAAAAATCCTGACCTACCAACCCTATTTTTTGAGAGGCATGTACATATAATCAGAAGCAGAGCTGCATTTTCATGGCACAACTAATGTATCTTTTCATTTTAATATGCCTCTCAGTGTGGTAAGATCCAGCGTGGGCAATATTTATAATGTCACAGTTGCATGCGTTTCAAAACACGCAAGCATCTCCATGAAGAGACTAAGCAACAAAGGCCTGTTTTTTGGGTGTATTCGTCCCTGAACTTCTGCTCACTTGTTGCCATTGAGCAAAATAAGTCCAGGTGCTCACCAAAAATCCAAGAATCAAATCCTTGATAGTCTGACATACACAATCACCTTGTAAATGAAATGCAGTCGTGCCTATTTGCCCCCAGTTCATTACAACGTTAATTGGGGTGAATGGATGATTCAACTATGCTGCTTTCTAACGCTACTCATGCAGCTTGTACATACAAACTGCGGAATGTCAGCGACACATTTCTGACACGTACACTATGAAGCTGGCTCCGGGCTAGCTTACATAGAGTTTTATACACAACTGTGCGGTTTGGTACCTTGGAGTTGGCAATCTTAAAATCTTAGTCTGGATTGTAGTTGTAAACAGACAAAACAAATTCGTAAAAATTACAAATAAGCAGTACAAGTTGGCATTCTCTGGTGTCCCTGCAATCAGGTGCAATTTAAAATATGAACTTTCGATGTGAAATCGAAATCCTAGAATATTGCTTTTCTCGTAATGTGGAGCCTTCCCTGAGCTGAAACTTCATCAGGTTTGTTGTTAGGCACCCTTCTTTAGACTTGAGGGAGGTTTTGTTGCTTCAAAGAAACAAATGACAAATGATGGACTGTATCTTTAAACATCCTTTACTATTTAATCCTTGAGCAGGTTCAGGGAACAAGACTGTTTGCAAAACTGAAACACCTGTGTCTGAAGGTTGTCAACCCCCAAATATCTCATAATCATTTCCACAAGTTGGTTACCCTGATCTGAACTATATTTTTATGTCTTCATTGCCGTCTTGATGCATGCTACACTTCAGGTTTAGGGAAAAAGATACAATGATCTAAATGCACCGTATGCATCAGATGTGTCCACAGACTCCAACATACAGACTCCGTTTGAGGGTTTATGGTCAACAACTCAGTACCAACTTACCTGCAGGTTTACCAACGGATGGATAAGGACGGTGAGAGCACATGCAAAGTGAGAGAGTTTGCAAAATCCTAAAGAGCATGGGCGGGGCTTGCGCCTCTTTGAAAGTTGCACGAAGTGAATAAGCATAGGCGTAAGCCAGGATATGACAGCATAGGCGTCCACTTGTTTTGTGGTTTGAAATGATGGGCGCCCCGTACGCAGTCGGCGCAACAAGTTCCTTGCACAAACCACTTACAAGGCGTCGCAAGGATGTCCGGATGAAAGCTTCCAAATTCCATGGGATTTACGGAATTGCAGCGGAGGGTGCGATGGAGGGTGGGGGGCAGAAACTGGTTTAACATCCTGCAGTGTGCACAATACAGGGCATACTGTCTGCACAATTGACGAGTGCAACATACCGGTGTCCTGAGGGACGCAGAGCAATAGTTTAGTTTGCGGAACCATTGTATTAGATGTTCCTTGAGTTGCATGTACAGGTAGTTTATTGGCCCTTATGGTTTGGCTTTTGGCCACTCTTAAGTAAGTCCCTGGTCAAAAGTGTCCAACTCAATTATCAGAAGTGAAGAATTTTCCAAGGGTTATCAACATGGCATCATTACAAACTGAAACATGTACCCACAACTTGCTGGGAACACTGTTCCCAACCACAATTTCCCTTGTCAAAACCATCAACTTACATCCTGTGCCGTTGATCCTTTGCCCCGCATCTTGCCCCTGGGTAGCTGTATCAGATATTTGACAGGGAAAACAAAATTACAGCAAAGATTGGTAAAAAGATAGCAAAACACAAGGACAGAAGATATCTTTGTTTCTGAAAGCTTCAAGTGCAGGTGACTCGTCCAACTATTTGCCCGACAGAAATTGGATCACACTTGGAGCACAGCCGTTTCTGCACCTGACCTGAGCCAGACGGCGTATGTCTAAACATCAATGCAATTAATATGAGCATTTGCCAAAACAGATGAGAGATAAAAAAATAACTTTAACTTTCCTGGCTCAGTACAAAAATAGACTTTCAAGTCAGAATCCGTACACTGTGCTAATTCAAAGGATATGAATCAGTGTTCATAAGAGGACAATTTCTGTTCAGGATCCTGAAACCTAATGGATTTGTCAATAATGTTCAGACGTTCACTAAAATGCAGAGGAACCCCCCCAAAAAAATTTGTCATCTTCAAAGTACCTAGTGCATTTTTCATGCCTCTCCAAACAGTCTTGAAACTAACTTCATAGTCCCCATCACGCCACATGTACCCCAATTTTTTTTCTTTTAAAGAAACAGTAACGTGACTTCCCTTTTTGGTGCTATTTTGATTAAACAACCATATAATGTGCAGCAAATCCTCCATTGGGCATGAAACCAGTTTAAGGTGATAAAGCCATTCGACAACACTGCAAAATACTCCCAAAACTTCCGAGAAAGATCAGCGAGTTCAATTTAATGCTGGGTATGACAAACACTGGCAGTAATTAATGGCAGGGGAACACAGCAGTATTAAACCAATGGTTGTTGCACTTACTTGTGTGTTTGGTCCAGTGTGAAAGCATGGATGTTCATTACTTGCAACGTGCTTGTCACTGAGAGAGAGAACGAGAAAGAAACTACATCAAGGGTTTTAATGAGAAGAACAAGGGACGTTTTAACCTTGAAGATTCATGTATCCACAGATGGGCTACTTTCTGGATATGACTAGAATTGACAACTTCCTTGAGTTGACATTGTTGACGGTACACATGTACATGGTTTGGAGTCCCAGTCGTCAAATGGAACTCCAACCCATCAAGTGACACTGTCACACATGCACCTGTCACTCTACCAGTACCTGTAAAATGGAGAAAAATTGTTCTCAAGAAGAAAACAAAAATCCCTCTATTAAAAGAGGAAAATATCAGCATTGCATCTCGGCACCAGGATTCTGTCAAACGTACAAAGAACGGGGGAACAAAGTACTGAGGATATTGTTGATTTGGCGAGAAATGCTATTGGATATGCACACCCACTCCTCGATTTAATAGTGCCCTTCCTCCTCGGAAACTTTTGAAAGCAGGCAACATCTATGACGCAGACTTTACTATTATGTGCATACAGTTCAAAAGTTTTCCATTTTCTTAACCCTAACATCCTCAATCCTGCAGGGAAAGTGATGAGGACAGAGTTAAATAAAGAAAATGGCAAGTCTCTTTGACAGTGAAAATGAATTTAAAGGACAAGTAACAAAAACAGACATAAGACACCTTCGCCCTCAGGGAAAATTCAAAGAAACAAGTGAAACATTGCTCATATTATAGTAATTCCTAGCAACAAGACTTGACTTCCACAGCTGACAAGTTCTTACGGGAGATCACATCTATCGGTATTTTTGTTTACTCGTCAGAATTTTGAAGCACATACTCGCCAGGAATTTGTTGGCTAGTAGAAATCTTTCTGAATCTGCTCAGGTGCAATGTGGTAATGGAACACAATGATACATTCTCCATAATTAAAGCCTCCGTCAGATCACTGCGTGTTTCTCTCATATAACACCTGTTTATGGGAAGAACAAGTCACTGGGCTCCATTTGCACAAGAATCCTACAAAAATCTTTGAAAACTTTCAAACCCTCAGAATGACCTGTTGGATTTTGAAAGGTAAAGAGGGGTTGAGTTCTGGAAAAACAACTTCCATCCAGAGCATAATGACAGCAGGTTCAACGAGCCACTGGGTAAGTGGGTCAGTGGGTAATGGCTGAAGGTAGAAAGTGGGTGGGTGAGTTCACTATTAAATGGAAGTACCCACAAGCAAAAACTGACTTCTATGTACATCCATTGACGGGTTGATTTACAAAGGTATGCCAAAGCATAGTGAACATGCATACTAATTACACAACCCAGATGATTTCCTAAATTATTTGTTCAATATTCAAGTACATGTATCAAAGCATACGTACGTGTAAGAGTACCCATGTGCATATTTCAAGAAGGGATGCAACTGATAGGGTCTCCATGCGTAACAACCATACGTGTACCAATGGTCCATTTGAATCCGGACACAGGTGCTGCAGTACATGGTATACATTAGTGCCTCCACACTCGCCTACCAGCCCCTCCCTACAGCAGATCCTGCTATGCACACGAGTGTCACATTGTACTGCCACAATTGTCACTTCAAACCCTGATGGAGGAAGCTGACCATAATTTGAAAGGCAAGCACAAATGTCATATGTTCCCACTTGCGGATTTCATCGAATATTGCAGTTTTTGGTCCAGTTCACTTGAATGAGAAACCAGCCCTTTCATTATTGTCAAAAATACTGTTTGCCTCGTGATGATTGAAAAAAATTTTTAAATGTATCTCGTGCCTTGACAAAATTGGCAAAATACTGATGCAAGTGCTATAAATATAACACATGTAATAACTTATACCGGTATTTACATGTGGTCATCCCACCAAATACGAGAGAAAATTACATAATCAAGTTTCCTCCAATCACCCAGTAGTACATGTACTAAACTTGTGCTTATACATCTACTGACATATTTGGTGCATTGTGCATACAAGGATCCACGTAATCTTTAACAATGGTAAGCATCGTACTATACAACACGAAGCAAAATGAGAAAAAAAAAATTTCAACGCCCACACAACAAATTTTACATTTCCGATGGCCCCCAGTTATAGAATGCTGCCCAACCCTAACCTATCTGTCAAGGGTGGTGCTTTGTTGTCACTAAACACACCCTATGCCAGGACCCCTGGATTACATGGATATGCCCTGAACAATGGAAAACGAAACTTGGCCCAGAAGTTGGCATTCATATGTATGTAACGCTGTGTTAGCATCATGGTAAAGCTACACGTATAGTTGGCTGTGCTTGTTAAAAACAGATACAAGGAAAGTTTATTTGTATATGTACATGTACATGCACATTGTAGGTGTGGTGAATTTATCAATACAAATTTGTGTAGAGAATTGTAACAAATTGAAGCATGAGGTGTGAAGCTCCTCTAATTACAGATGCATCCAAGCAAAAAAATGGGACTGGCATTCTTAAAATTCAACTGAATGTTCAACGGTTATACACGTAGATTGTAGGCCAAGACTGGGCTTTGTGTGTGCACAGGAGGAGGTCCTCCCTCTTTTTCAAAAAGAAAGCTCTCAAACTGACATGACATTTAAACACTTTGGGATGTACATGTACTCCTCGGAGGCCAGATGTTTTGTTCTTTGAAACTTTTTCGAGGAAAAATATGCCTCCTTCAGGATTTATGCATGTTCTCTTTTGTAGGAACTTTATTTGAAGGATCTTCATTTTTTAAATTTTTGGGAAAGTTAACTTTACGCTCTCATATTGGATTTATTCAAAGTCTCAAAGTTGGACAAGATCTAAGCACTGGTAATCATCCTGGACCATAACAAGGCTCAAGTTGCTTTTTAGTATTAACCTCCGTAACAGACTGTTTGGCACAGCTGATGTACCTACATGTACATTGTATGTAAAGTGCTAGATTGTTCTGTATACAGAACCCCTACACTGAAATTATGCTATGTTTACAAAGTCAAAATTGCACAGTGCGAGAAACTGTTCTTCAAATAGTGTAAATCACAGAACATTCATTTTTTGTTGAATACCATCTCCTACAAGCTCCTGTTACCGATACGCGGATGTACCTCTGAAACTGTTCTTAACATTATACATGTATGTCCCTGTAAGATAGTGTGCAAAACACACCGGCTGATAATCTCAGTTTAAAATTATGAAAACTTTTACCCTACTACCAAAGAACAGTAGTACAAAAAGATTAAGTTGGGTACGGCAAGGTTTACCATGGACACATGTATGTAAATGTATGTTATCTGGTCCTTCCTTCTCAGAGACAGCATCACTTCAGAAGGATTGATGCATGCTAAAACAAGGACAAATTCTGAGACAAGATCAATTCTCTCGAGACACTGGGACCGAAAACACTAAACTTTTGGTGCAGCTGCTGTGCCTGGTTTCCTTATTAAGTTTAGTGGAGAGATGTGCTCCACATTCAAAAGATGAAATGCTGTGCTTATCTCAGGAAGTGAAGACTGAATTAATGTGACTCTCTGGGTGTCAAAAGTAATGTATCTGTATATCCACCACGTACGTGAGAATACATGCACTGTGTGCTGCATTGCTGTTTATCAGCACTCCCTTTTAGCAAGCATGCACACCTTAATAAATCCAGCAATTCACACTTAAACATGAGAATCAGTCCCATCACCACATGATTGGTGCCCCTTAAATTCTACCTTGATCTGTAGCTCCAAAGCAAGAAGCAACCTCACATGACACCATTTGGACTTTGGGAAACAATTCTCAGACAACATGTGCCCCTACTCTTCAACAAGTGATTTCTGTTTCAAATTTACAACCTGAAGGGGTAGCATTTTGTTTCCACTGCAAAGTCCCACAAATGAGAATTTCCTATTCGTGCGGTGAGTTTCAGCGGAGGCCTCGAGAACGAAGAGTTGGAAAGGATGGCCGAGCCCCCTTGAAGGGGCAGGGGGTCTGATACGTGAGCCAGAAAGGTACAACTGACCTGGCCATGACTCATTCCTGAATTAGTGAAAATATTATTGCAGAATGTCAACCCTTGCAAAACACTGAACCTAAACAGTGGA